TTGTCACTCTACACATTTCATTAGGTATTCCTTCTTCTATTTATTTATTTATTTAATTGAAGTATAGTCAATTACAATGTGTCAATTTCTAGCATACAGCACCATGTCCCAGTCATGCATATACCTAAACATATTTGTTTTCATATTTAAAAATCTGTTTATTCTTTTTACATTTTTGGGGGGGGGGAGGTCATTAGGTTTATTTATTTTTAATGGAGATACTGGGGCTTGAACCCAGGACCTCGTGCATGCTAGGCACACACTCTACCACTGAGCTAAACCCTCCCCACTTTTTTTTTTAAGCTTTGCTGTTACAGTTTTTCCCCTTTGTTTTTGGCGCACTTCAATTTTAATTAAGTGTCTAGATACTGATTTCTTTTAAAAAGTGTGTCCTGTCGAGGATGCACTGTGTTACTCTGTGAGTCACATCTTTATTTCTGAACAAGGCTCTGCCATTTTCTCTTTGAATAATGCCTCCTCTCCATGATCTCTTTTCTCACTTTTTGGAACTTCCATGAAGTGTCTATTGGATCTTTTTATTCTATCTTCCACATCTCATAACTTTACTTTTGTAGACGCCATTAAAAAAAAAAATTCTCTGAGCTGCCCTGTGGCTAATTTTCTTAGATTTATTTTCAAGTTTAATAATCATCTCTACTCCTGTTTTTAGTCCATCTGTTTAACCCATCTGTTGAGTTTTTTATTTTCAATAGAATATAAGCTCTATGATAGTGGTGAATTTGTACGTCTTATTCACCATTTTATCTCTAGCACCTAGAACAGGGCTGAGACTTTGTGGATGTTCAATAACTATTTGTTAAAGAATTACTGAAACAAAAGAGTTCTATTCTTTTTCACATATTTCTGCTTTTCATCTTGTTCTTGTTCTTTTATTTCATTTTTATTTTATAGTATTTCCTTTGTGTTTTTAACTGCTTCATTCTTTGTAGTCACTTTTAGGTTGTTTTATTAATTAAAGGCACAGCTTTTTTTTTTTTCAATTCAGTGTATCTGCTGACTCTCACTTGTGGTGGATGGTTCCCTTGTATGGCGTGGGGATTTTACTGAGAGTTCATTTTCAGTGAACATTGTTCCTTCTGTGGGATTCTTCTGTGCCCTGAGTTGTACAAGTGTCCTCACTGAGGGGTTTTTTATTTGCTTTTTTTGGGACTTGACAGTTTCTCTGCTTCTAGGCTTGGGATTCTGCTTTCAAATGATAATGTGAAACTGCACTTCCATAGACTAGGACTTTCAATTTTCATGGGAACCATCACCTTCCACCTTTAGCCAACTGAGACAACTGGGTACAGGATAAGCTTGGCAATTTCCTTGGCCTTCAAAAGGTGAAAACCTCTTTAGGGTCCTAGTTTATACAGGGATTTCAGTTCCAGCTTCTCATTCAGTGGCTCTAGGGCTGCACTGACATGGGGTTAAAACCTCAATTCCTGAACCTTACCTGTGACTTTGAATCTCTTCTTTATTTCTGTCCTCTGAAGCTTTTGTTTTCTCTACTTTGAGCTCAGCTTTATATTTTAAAATAGTTATACTGTATCCATCATTTCTAAAACTTTGGAATCTCACGCCATGACTGTCATTTCTAGGTAGAAAGATGATCTGGTCCTACGGATCTTGCTAATGAACTTCATCCAGATTGTTCAAGAGCCTTTCCCTAAGAATCATCATCTCATTTTTGATTCTTAGAGTTTTTGGCAATAAAACTTATAGATATTATTGTTCAAATCAACTCAATAAATAATATTGTGCTAAATATTTCAGGAAATATAAAGAAGACTAAGATACCTGTGCACTCAAGAGGCAGGCAGAAAATCTTTAAGTGCTATCAGTATGCATGCAGCTTTGCAATAATGCATGTCACACTTATTATTAAACAAAGTCATAAAGCTAATCAAAGAATGAAAGGGGAATCAAAATAAGGCATTTTCGTGTGGCAATAACAGGAAAATTTTCATGGAAGAAGTGCTAGTTGAAATGTGCTTTGAAGAATGAGATTTCTAAAAGTAATAATGGAGGGGGAAGTTTTGGAAGAGAGGAAGTGGCTCTTCCAGGTTGAGGGAAGAGTGTAAATTTAGATGAGGTGCGAGAGTGGAGGGCACACACAGGGAACAGCAGGTAGTCCAATTTGCCAGGTTAGGGTGTCAGAAGACAGTATTATCAGAATGTAAAAATAAAAGGAATGAAGACAAAGCATGAGTCAGGATAAGGTGGAAGGAGACAGGCAGGTATTTAACGTTAATTTAAAATTTCTTACTGTCTTATTTATCTGAAAGGAAAGGAAGATGTTGGGTTTTACTTTTTTAAGGATAAATTTAAGAACCAGGATCACTTAAAATTCAGTTTGGACAGTCTCCTCTTATCAGTGCTGTGATCTTCTGATTGCCTAGTTTCACTAGTTTCTCAATAGGTAAACCAAATCAGCATTTTTATCTGTCAACATACAAGTACCATCTAGTGGCAAAAAAGGTAACCACAGGAAAGAAAATCTATACAGAAAACATCTGTTTAATTTCCACTTGTTTATATCATGATTGCTAATGAAAGTGGGCCATCTTCCGATGGGATGGGGAAATGAAGTAGTCTCAAACAAGTCTGCTTGATCGTTGATTTCAGAGAATACGGGATAAGGCAAAAACGGGCTATAGACAATGGGCTTCAATATGAAGCATTTGAAAATTTCACGTCAGGGACTTAACGTTACATTGGACTTTGGAATGAACTTTAAAGCAGGATCCAGTTGGGTTTGTAGAGAGAGTCAAGAAAAGGAAAGTCGGTGTAAATGAGGATGAGTCTGAAATGCTGAAGGTAACAAACAGTATTCTACCGGAATATTCTCTCCTCCCTCCTGTGCCAAACTCCTACGTTGCTTTCAGATCTTAATATAGACGTGACTTCCTCTTGACAATGTTCCTTGACCTCTCAGGTATGTATTAGATGAAGCACGTATGTCCTCCTACTGGCTGTTCTCTCCCCGACGCTATGACCACACTCCACTGTCACTCACGGTTTTATCGACAGACCTCATTACAGTTTGAACTCTTTAACAGCTGGTACCATGCCTGCTTCATTTACTATTCTATCCCTAAGGCTTAGGATACTACCTGACATACAATAGGCACAAATATTATTTGCAAAATAAATGGACAGGTTAATGAAGAGAATAACTGTGATGGAAATGTTCGAGGGCCAAATATTGAAAGTTAATATCAGCAAAGCTTAAATTAGGAAAGAAAATATTGTCAGGAAAATTATTAGTAGAAAAGACCTTTTTTTCTTCATTGTATGTTGATTCTGTACATGAAGTCCATTTACTCATAATCTCTGTGGCTTTATAATTTTCAGAGTACTTAACTTCTGTCTATCTTGGTGGAGGGAAAAATAGTATTTTTTTAAAATACTATTTAAAATACTAAATACTTAAGTATTTTAAACAATTAAACACGAAATGTTTTAAAAACAGAGGAGCATAGCTCATATTGTTATTGTAGAGATTCAATAAAAATGACTACAGATAACACACATAGACCAGTGTTTAGCACATATTACGTGTTTAATAATTGGCTTTTGTTCTTTCACACACCTCAGGTCATAAACTCCCTGAAGCAACTCAGAGAGTCAAAGAAGGCAGGTACTTTAAAATTCTTTTTTACAAGTTATAAAACTAGTGATGACAGAGGCTGATATGCATCCGTGATTATGGAGTCACATCAGTTGTTCAGTTTCTGAATCCACACTGAATAATAAATAGTTCGTTGTCCCTTCTGTGTCCCCGTGTGGGTCACCGAGAGGGAGAGGAGAAAATAAAAGACATTTGGATGTTAAATGATTACAGGGCTGCCTCGCAGAGAGTGGAAATAAGTTTTAAGGGGTGTATTATCTTTCTATTGCTGCTGTAACAAAGTACCACAAACGCAGTGACTTAAAACAACACAAATGTGTCACAGTTCTGTAGGTTAGGAGGCCAACACACAGTGCACTCTGGGATAACACCAGGGGATGGCAGGGCTGCTTTCCGAAGACTCTAGGGAAGAATGTGTTTCCTTTTTTACCCATTCCTTCCTCCATCTTCACAGTCAGCCAGGGTGGGTTAAGTCCTCATATCACAACCTGCTGACGTCCTCTTCCTCTTCCTCTTCTGCTTTTAAGGATCCTGGCGATTACATTGGGTCCACCCGGATAATCCAGGATAATCTCCCTATTTGAAGGCCGGCTGATTAGCAAACTTAATCCTCTTTTTCTGTGTGAAGTAACATATTCACAGGTTCCAGGGATCAGGATGTGGACATCTTTGGGTGGACAGGGGCATTACTCTGCCTGTTCCAGAGGAATAGTGAATTCTAAGAGGAATGCTGGCAAAGAGATCCCCAAATGAAAGGAGCGGGTAGCTGCTTCTGCCCATACTATTTTCAAATGGAAGTGTTAGAGGTATCACTGCAAGCTACCTGCTGTACGCTGTTAACTCCCATTGATCTTGGCTAAAACCTCTGGATGGTTTTTACATGGCTACACCAGACTATCCTGTTTCGTATTTCTGCAGGGTTTTTTTTTTTTTCAACTTGAAGAAATGTAGGGGTTGTTACACATTTCTGTTAAATTTTATCTTTTAGGTTTTAGATCAGAGTTCAAATTGTTAAAATAAATTTGTTTTCCGGTTCTGTCTTCAATCATATTTTCTGTGCTATATAGGTGTTGTTTCATACTCTGATTTGACCAGAAAATGATTTCTATATCCTAACCTATGTAAGTTATGAAAAATTGTAAACAAAAATTTGGCTACAGTTATCTAACTTTGAGTTTGTTTAATTGTAATTATGTCAAGCCCTTATTTTAGAGTCTCATTCACAAATGTCATGAAAGACTAGATTAAAGGCTTTGCTGAAATTAACTTATATCATGCTGATATAATTCCCATTTTAAATTCAAAGATCAAATCAAAAAGTAGTATGACTTATCCATAATTTAGTTATTCTGGCTCTTTGTGACCACCAAACTCTGTTCTAAGTGTTCATAAAATATATTTAATTATGTACTCTGGAATTTTACTTTCCTGTTCCAAAGTTTTCAGTGTCTTTTAACCAATTTTCTTCTTTTTAAAGCCGGTGACCTATTGTCTCTTTCATTTTTTACAGTTTCTCTGATCTTATCAGCAACTCCATAGGTCTTAGGTTACCCATAAACAGCTGCGGGGTGTAATTTGTTCCTGGAAACATGAACTTATTTGAAATAGATGGGTGTTCTCTTTCTGTCTCCTCAATCATCTCAAGTTTCAGTTCTCTTATGTTGTTTCACCTTTACCACTTTCAAGTCCCTTTTCCATACTGAAGAGGGAAAGAATATACAATTGAGTCAGCCCTCTTTTTAGCCTATAGATTATTCTTTTCAGTAAATTGATGATTTTGTGTTTATAAAAGTCTATGCAGGCTTATTTCTCTGTGTCCTCTAATACAGTCTCCACTCTGGTTAAAGCAGTCTTCCCATCTTTTTCCTCTTGAAGATGCCAAGTAACTCTAGCCCGCAATGTTTTTTCTGTAATACTATATAGTTTGCACCACATAGTGTAACAATGGAACAGGTATTATTGTCCATTAAATGTTCTCTAATTATTATTATTATTTTTTGGCTTCCGAAGAATTGTTGGTTTCTTGACCTTTTTTTGTTCACCTGCAAAGTTGGGGTATACAATGGAATACTACTCAGCCATAAAATAGAATAAAATAATGCCATTTGCAGCAACATGGATGAACCTGGAGATCATCAGACTAAGTGAAGTAAGTCAGAAAGAGAAACAAAAATACCATATGATATCATTATATGTGGAATCTAAGAAAATTGAGACAACTGAACATATTAACAAAACAGATACAGGGTCATAGACATGGAAAACAAACTTATGGTTACCAGGTGGGGGAAGGGGAAGGGGGTGGGGAAGGATAAACTGGGAAATTGCAAATTCAGGATTTGCAGATACTAACTACTATTTACAAAATAGATAAACAACAAAGTCCAATTGTATAGCACAGGGAACTAGATGCAATAGCTTGTAATAACCTATAAGGAAAAAGAATATGAAAAAAATACATACACACATACATATATATATATATATATATATACACACAACTGAATCACTAAGCTGTGCACCAGAAATTAACACAAAATTGCAAATCTACTATACTTCAATAAAAAATGAAAAAAAAAAGCCTTAACAACTTAGCAGTTTTGCTCTTAATTTTGGATAAAATAGCATAAGAAAGCCATTAAGTAAGGCATTGGTCTTTAGCAAGTGAAAAAGCAAACAAATAGAATCCATTGTTCACCAGCAGGAGGTTAGGATGTAGGTTGATGTTTAGAATAGCAAGCAAGCTGAATTCTCTTTCCCTACATTAAATATTGTCAAAATTCTGGTTTGTCCTCATTTATTTTGTTCAACTAGGCGACTTGTTACATCTCAATCTACGACTCCTATGATCTATGTATTCCCATGTGATTCATTTGTCTAGGAATCTGTTAATGAGATATGGGGATTTGGGTTGCCACCATGACAACCAAGCAGTACGGCTTGTTTGCTATTTCCTAGATACAGAAGCTTGGAAAGGAACATCTTCCCTACAGCTGCTTTATTTAGTACTGAGACCTGGTAACTATGGAAATTTAGATTGAGATGCTGTGGCTAAATTGTTTACAAGGTACATGCAGTCTGAGAAGTAGCTGGCTCAAAGAGACAGTCAAATATGGCAGGGCCAATACATTACTTTGCAGCAGTCTTTTTATTTAAAATGATCTTCTTTATTTTAGTATTCTCTCTGTTACATTATTCTACGAACTATATTCTAGCCGTAACTTTGTCATTCATCTATATGAAGAATTTAATATCTTTTTTTCCTTTTATTAGGTAGATTTTGAGGAGTGATTGGTGACGTTTTTGTGGGGATAATAATGACAACAGTGTTTGCATACTGTTGTACATGTGTTTTCTCATCAGCAGTGTTTTCCACAACATTTACTGCACACCATCACGATGCATCACACCTGGAAATTTGAACTGATATAAGTAAAAGCTCTTAATCTCAGACTACTTACATTGAATTGAAGGCGAGACAATCCATAAGCAAAATGATGTGAACAAGATGGTAGCATCTGTGTAGTTGAGAAGAAAGTGAGATCATTTTGTCTGGGTTGATGAGGGTTTTATGCATTTTGGTCATGTTATCTTGAAGCAAGAATAGAAGTAAAAGCAGACTGAATGACCGAGAACATTGCAAAGATAAGAAACTCAGGAAACAAATGCCTAGAATTGTGGTGGAAATGATGCGTATCCTTCTGAAGTTAAAGCAGGTTGAGGCTACCAGTGAAAAGTACAGTTGGAGAATAGGGGCGAATGTATTATTTCAGCAACACATTTTTACAAGCAGATTTATTTTTTACTTCCATTCACTTACTTGCCCACGAATCCTAGGCCATCAAGAATGCAGTCTTATAAATGTGTTAACTAAAAATGTCTTGGGTATTTCAAAACAGAAAAATATATCAGGTACAGTTTTCACCACTTGCCTTCTTCAGTGTTCTGGTGTAGTTACTAGGACATTCCATCTCCCTTTGCCTAGACCCTCACTGCCAATGGATTCTGCTAAAGCTTTTTGATTTTCCTATTTAATCCGTATTCGATAGGAGAAATAAAACTTGTTTCCTTGATTTTTTTATTTGTAGAACTTAGCAGAGTGACTGTTACGGAGATCTGGTTTAAATTTAAGAAGTAGAAAAGCGAAGTAAAATATATACACGGTGTATACTATACAGGGTAGACAGAATTTTTAAAATAGTCTTTTAATAGTTAAAATTCCCCTAAAAGTAAAAAACTGTACAAAGAAATGTGGCCATACAGAAATCTGTTGTGAGCAAAATCAATTGTGAGCTTTTCTTTCCTTTACAGTAACTTTTTACTACCATTTAGGTCGCTTTGGACAATGAAACTCAAAACACCAGTTTACATTATTAGCAGAAATAACTGCGGTATGGAATCTCCCACAGATGCCATATGTCTCAGGCCATTTGTAAGATTCAGGATCCGCCGTGTCCCAGACTCTCATGAGGACACTTCAAAACCTAAAGCATCCTTGATGTCCAGATGTCCTAGATCGGTGTCTGATGGGGGAACCGGGCAGCATTTACGAAAATGAGGACACTGCAGCCCACGTGCTGCGACGGGAAGGAGAGGGGCTACGTAATGTAGTCCTCGGAGAGGACCGTTCAAAAGCCGGGAAACAGGAAAGAAAGGATTCTTAAAAGTAGATGTGACGCGGGAGGCAGACAGGAGAGGGCAGTGGACCAAGGTCACACGCTAGGAGACTGCAGACAAATCCGAGTCCCTGACTTCAAGCCCCTTGTTTTCTCTTTTGCCTCGAGGCTGGAAGCGTGGCGAGGAGGAGGCCCAAGCCGCAGAGCGCCCTGGGTCTGAGCC